TTCAAAATTTGGTCTCCACCATGTTGCCACACATTCACCTATCTGCCATGAATGTTGCAACCAAGAATGAGAAAGAAGAATCATACACAAATAAATATCTTAAGAGAAGGCCAAGAAAAGAGACGTGTCAAAGATCATGATGCAGCTCGTGTGTACAGTAAATAAGATTTCATATAATATTCAGCCTTAGTTTCTCAGATGTGCATATAGAGTAAATAAGTCGAATTCATACGATATTCATCCTTCCTTTCTCAGATGCATACATCCAACCAAAACACTCGATGGAATATTCAATATCAATCAGAGATAACATTTAGTTATGCATATTTACATTGCACGTTCCTTTTTGCATGAATAATCTCTAAAGCACGTTGAAATGTTGAATTATACTTTCCCATTTCAAATTTTTTTCACTAAGGTCGGGTGATTATTCCATAAAGAATTACCTTCCAATCTGGCTCAAGACCAGGTGAATTCGCAGCGAGTTTGCTAGAAAGTTTCCTTTTCAAGCCATCAATTTCTGCAAAAGGATGTAAAAAATTTTTGAAGATGAATAAAACTCGACGAAAAATAAACTCAAAAAGTCCATGGCCAGAATCCGAGTTGTTGTTTTTGTTGTTCTTTTCGGTAAACAAGCAAGAAAATGTAGATTGATAATAGACTTTTGTAAGAGGAAGTCAAACGTTGTACCGTTCTCTCCTGGCTTCAGTCTGCCACCTGGGAGTTTACAGAAAGTATTTCCAATTTGCAGCAGAAGAATATGCGGATGATTATGCTCTTGTACCTGTAGGAGTGAACCATGTTTTTCAATTAGCTATATGGCCATATTACTTACCACTTGCTAAGTTAATATCATGATGGAAAGCCACAGAAAATACAAGAAGGTAGAAATTCTCCGTGCAAGTTAAAACGTTAAAAAATGGATAAAGTTCAGCAGTAAATGGCCTATTCAGAGACCTTATATATTAAAGTAAACTACAATGCCACACGCAAGACCTCTGCTATTATTTATAGCTAAAAGACTCAAAAATCTACTATAAAATGTTTCATTAGTAACTTCTTCTACTGTGTAAGTAATATATTTAGCCCTGTTTGGTGTAGATTAAAATCTACTAAAAATCACGAGTCAAAGTCAATAAGTAATCATGATTTGACACAAAAACACCCTGTACATTACATTACTTTCAAATGTAACAAGCCACAAAAAAACTGAACTCGTCAAGCTTACAACATTGTTATGAAGACAATAGGGACTCTAGTGTTTCTATCTTTTTAGAGAGGAACTATGAAAGGAAATTAGTAGTCAATCTGCTACTTATCATTGGAGAAGATATGTCAAATAGCCTATACAAAATTTACCATCATATTCAAAAAACTCTTCCATTTCTAGTGTAAACTTCTCCCCATTAGAGCATGTTTAACAAAGCTTAAAAATAAATGAACATTTACTTTTTAAGTAACATTTTTATTTCCAAACACGTTTAGATAACTTTATTTTTCATTAAAAAATCTTATTTTGGAAGCAATTCTTACCATGCCAAAGAAGCAAAGTACTTATTTTAAATTTATTTAAATAAAAAATTACTTATTTACTCACAGATAACTTTTAATGTTTAGCCAAACACGCTCTAAGCAGAAGCAATTCCCTCCAGCATGAAAGAATC